ACGATGCGCACAAGGTCCCCCAGTCATCAAAACATTACCGAGTTCTTCACCCGCCACCCACCACAGCCGGCCCAAGTCAGTGATAGTGATAATTATAGTGAGGATATGGACTTATATGGCCTTTGAGGGGTTTGACAAAGAGGCCCTGCAAGCCTCTGTGGTGGATAGTGATACAATTGATACAAGTGATACAGGTGAGGGCCAATAATCTGCCCTCTGCCTCGGAACCAACCCCCCATCCCCGTGTGCCCAGCCATCTTTTCTACTAATGCAAGTGTTAAAAAACCTAATATTATTGATATTTCTCTTAATTATTAATTGTGTGTGCATACCATCATAAAGTTAAGATAAAATTTTTACTACAACATAGTTGTGTGTCGTCAAAAAGTGGAGTTTGGGGGTCGGGCCAGTCTCTATTGGAATTAATCCCATATGTTCTGTTGTTCACTTAACGCGGTTTTCACTTAACGCGGTACCCTGTGGGTTCAATTGACCGCGTTAAGCGGGGTACTACTGTATTTAATTATTATTATTTTTTAATAAAAGAGCAGTCCAAAGCACCTCAGTGTCCGAAAAAAGAAAATTCTGATAAACTGAAGTCAGATTTATTGAGGTTTTACTGTACAGTGGTCCCTCGGTTAACGAGCAAAATCCATTCCAGCAGGTTGCTCGTTAACCGAAAAACTTGTTAACCGAAACCATTGTTTCAATGGGTTTTTGGGTAATTAGTTCCAGCTCACGGAAAATTGCCTAAATTCAACAAAAAAGGTAGAAAAGTACACTTACTTTGAGGTGTGTATGTAGAAGGCTCCTGGATGATGATGATGATGGGAATTAGAATGGGAGTGGAGGAGAAGGGAGAAGAGAAGGCATTGGGGTGGAAGAGAAGTCACCCCATGGCGCCATTTCACCCATAAAATTTTAGTTCTCTTGGTGTAATTCAAGACTATTTTCTTTAAATCAACACTGCACTGCATTATATATTGTCAATATGTAAAATAAATTTCAAAATGACCAATAATTTGCTTGTAAACACAGAAAAAAGCGTTTAGTTGAAGAGAGTCTCAAGCAAGATGTTACCTCCACTGAAAAGACACAAAGACTGACGCCTGTATAGTATGTTGACAGGCTGGATGGCGAGCATAAAACTAGTTTCATTACCTTCAATTACGTTCAATAATTGTTAAAATGACTAAAAAATTTAATATTAAACTTTTAAAATTATTGAATAGTATAAACTTCTTGATATTTACTAAAATAGTAAGGAATTTAAGCCCTAAAACCGATAACTGTATTGGCGGACTAATACTACAGCTGGTGGACCGCCAAATGCAAGCGAAAACATGTTGAGGTCGGCTCGTAAAAAACTCGTTAATCGAGGGATTGCTCGTTAACCGAAGTTAAGAATCTTATGGAAGGTAACTCGTAAACCGAAATCTCGTTAATCGAGGAGCTCGTTAACCAAGGGATCACTGTATTGACCTGTGAACATTAAAAATGTCCAGGTCCATTACAGGCTGGCCTTCTACAGTACAGAGCACTAGATACTTTGTAAAATCTACCTGTTTGAACACAAGTGGTAAGATCTCACAGGTAGAAGCATCATGGAGGGTGCTAGGGCCATTGGGCCTTCTGCGGCTCTTATACTTGGGTATTTGTTGTGACCCAGAGCCACTTTTCCCAATCTGATAGTGCCACATTGTAGCAATTGATGACCCAGAGGAGGGTCCAGGGATGGGTACAGGGGGTGTATCTGGCCAGTTATTGGATGTTACCGCCACAGTAAGATAAACTAGAAGAGAGAGAGAGAAAGAGAGGGATAGCCACAATAAGATAAACTAGACGAGAGAGAAAGAGAGAGGGTGAGAGGAGAGACAGTGTTGACGACGAATTTGCTGAGGTGTTTTAAATATGAAACAGATAGCCCTCGCTTAGGGCTACGATTGCTCTCGGAGGCAGTATATCGTTCCCTGCAGGAGAGACAACACCTTTCGTCCACCTAACATATACAACATATACCAAGAGGATATTACACCAGATCTCGTTGGTCAAACCCTAGACCCTAAAACGTGAGTGTGAACTACTAAATCATCTAAAAAACTCTAAATAACTTTAATAAGTATATTTATGTACTGTACTGTAATTTGATCATATTATATAAATTGTCTCCTGATGTATCAACAGTTGTAACATGCGAGTTATATTTAAGATGTTAACAGGCTATGTACTGTACAGTTGGGTCTCACTTCACGCGGTTAATGTAACCCACAGGGTACCGCGGAAAGTGAGAAAAGCGTAAAGTGAATAACATAACATATGGGATTAAATGAAATAGAGACCGGCTGACCCCCAAACTCCACTTTTTCCAACACAATACCTATATTCTAGTAAAAATAACATCTTAATTTTATGATGGTACATGCACACAATTAATACTTAAGAGAAATAGAGAAATACAGTCGCCAAGTTAATGTTCATTCAAATAATGGACTCAACTCCCTACCCCTCTTCTCACACTACACTCGCTGGCTCTTCCCTCTCTGAGAAATTTCTTGGGGAAAACCACTAGATTTTAAGGTATAGTAATAAATAATACCTCAAACTAAAGTTAGGATAATATAATTGACATTGCTGGATTCCTTGTAAGACCAGGAATATTTTGAATATAAATGTCATATATTTTGCACAAAAGATAACATATTTACTCAGAGAAAACATTAGATCTAAAATTTGTATGTCTAATGCAAAATCTATAATGTTTATATTCAAAATGATCATCAAATTGTAAGAATTCCAGCAATGTAAATTATATTCTGGCCGGGTAATTTGTATGAATTTTATGAGCTAAAACAAATATCTTCAGTTCATAAAAAAAAAAATATTCTTCACACCGTGCCAGATGGTCGGTCGGTCCCTCCCTCCCCCCCACCCCCCACCATCCCTCCCTACCAGATAAATGTGTGGGAAAACCAGACTATTTACCTTTTTAGTAATAAATAATACCTCAGACTAAAGTTAGGATAATATAATTGACATTGCTGGATTCCTTGTAAGACCAGGAATATTTTGAATATAAATGTCATATATTTTGCACAAATAACATATTTTCAGCCTTCTGGCTGCCAAGCTCTTTCAATAAACCGTTAATTATTATTATTAATTATTATTATTATTATTATTATTATTTACTCAGAGTAAACATTAGATCTAAAATTTGTATGTCTAATGCAAAATCTATGATGTTTATATTCAAAATGATCATCAAATTGTAAGAATTCCAGCAATGTAAATTATATTCTGGCCGGATAATTTGTATGAATTTTATGAGCTAAATAAAAAAATTATACTTCACACGCGTAAAGGGGTACACGCACTGCGGAATGTGAGCATCCTGGGTTCTGGCAGGGCACCACGTAAAAGTGGAAATGCGGAATGTGGGACCGCGTAAAGTGAGGGTTGACTGTATATTGATTGTATTATTCATACTATGTGTCTTGAGATAACGGCATTTGTTATAAGTGAATTGTTCTTTAACAGGTTTTGACCGAATTATATGGTATGCGTCATCATTATGGGTTTATTTCTCCAACAACAAATCAATAACGCTCCTATGAGCGTTAACATTGGTGTTTGTTTCTTATATACAAAACCTAAACTACTTCATTCCCCCACCCAACATGGAGCCCAACAAGGGGAGGTCAGTGCCAGAGATAAGACCCTGGTGACCCCAGGGGTAGCGGGGGAGTATACGTGGGTAACCGCCAGGTGGCCAAGACGACCGCTCCTGGACCATAGGAGCGCCAGGCCCCCTGATGCCCACTTGACCCTACCCACACTGTGACCAGCTGATTGACTTGATCAGGCCCGACTAAGCCGCCCATCTAGCTGGAATAGGGGACCAAAGAGGTGTGTTGCTAGCTGCAGGGTGTAGCGTGTGGCATCGCTCAACCTCCAGGACTCCCGTCTCCCAGCATTATGGGACGCCACACACGGCAAACACGTGGGAGAGTATTCCAGTGGCCTGGGCTGGGGACGATGCTGTCTGTCTGCTCTCAAAACCAGCAGCAGGACAGGAGCCATTTTGTGTGGATCCTTCCCAGTGACCAACCCAGTTTGGGAAACCCTTCCCCTCCCTCCGAGGAGGGAAGGAAGGGGGACCAAGCCCCCCTCTGGTACTGCTCACAGGATCATCAGAACTCACAAGCCCCCCACCACAGCAAAGGTTGGACATTTGGTCTTGATGCTGTGCAGTGCAGTCTATTACTAATACAGTACTACAGTACTACTACTACGACTGTACTATGGTAATCTTACTAAAGTTGTATTTAGTGATGCATCGGAACCGGAACTTGATGGAACTTAAAAATGCTCCAGCCAGAACGGGAACTTAAGGAGTTATAGCTATTAAAAAAAAACAAAGTTGTTTTAAGTTCATGACATTCACAAATTCTATTACTGTATGATATTATTGGTCTGTTATTTTTTTTTTTAAGTATAGCTATGAATATGAAGGCTTGTTTACTTAGTGCAGTGGTCCCCAAACAGGGGGCTACAGTGTTGCTCAAAAGTGAACCACACATGCTTGCTAGATAACATGCATCCAAGTATTAATGAACCCTTTATTGTATGTGATATTTCATAAATTGTATTAAGTTTGAAAATTGAATTCTCCATACTGTATTTATAAATACACACAGAAGACAGTTCTTTAAATAACTACAACTGGTTCTGTTATTTGTAAAGCACAATAAATATAATTTAAGATGTAATATTTTTTTTTTCCTTCACATTTGTATATCAATATTCACTAACCATTCAGTACTTTTTATGCATTAACTGTGAATTATATACTAATTTATGAAACATTGACCACTATAAAAAGTTCTGGTTCTGGCTGGTTAGTTTACCCAAATTTGTGGTGCATCCCAAGTTTTGTTTAGGCTCGTCTTGCATGACTAAAATAAGTACTGTTCAACAAGAGCAGCAACACAATAACTCACTGGTACATCTGGCCAGGGGCGAGGTTGGCCATCACTGCAACTGGCTTGTAGACAGAGTCACTTGCACTCAGTACATAGAACAGTGAAGACATGAAGATCACCTGCAAACATAAATTTACACTTTCTAAAATGAACTACACACTATATCTTAGTAAAGAGCAATAATATTTACACTACAAACTACTATTAAAGCATGTTCTGTACAGTAAACAGCATGAAGCCATTTCAACCCAACGTGCATGGTATGAGCCACATGATCTGGTAACACTGCATGGTGAAGAGTTGATAGATTTGCTTTTAAATACTGTACCAGTTATTTATGATATATCATAGCAGATTGGCTCAGAATATTTGATGTATACTGTACAGTATTGTATAACTGATTGGTACAGTATCTGACGCGCAAGAGGATTTCTTAATGGGCACATTACTATAGTACTGTACTTTTCACACAGTCTAAACTTTCAACAAAATCAAAACATATGTAATGAATATGCATTAATATTACAGGATTGTACAGGTATACCCTGATAACCGACCATATAGGGACCGGGAAAAGTTGTTAGTTAGTGAATGAACGGTTACTGAAGAAATTAATCCCATAAGAACATAACCAACTCAGGGTGTTAGTGACCGGCCACCCTCCCATCTACCCTTGATATATCTCTGTACTGCACACTGTCAAACAAGAAAATAAAGCAGACATAAAGCAAGCATAATAAGACTTAAATAAGCAATGTAAAGCATAAATTGAGACTGTTATTTACCTGTGTTGAGGACAGTCTAGGGTGGCAAGTTCAAGTCTCTGCCACTCTTTGCTGATCTATCACCACTCTTATTATGCTTTATTATGTCTTACTATGCCTTAAGACATCACATCAAGCTGCCCACTACAAGAGGAACTACCACTGGGGCATTTAAGCATGACTGAGTAGCACACCAAGACAAAAAAAAAAATTAAGTCAGACACATAGTAAGTGTAAACAAGAGCAAAGATGGCGGGAATGAATCAGAGGCAATGCGCAGAGCCCTCTGGTGGCAACAATTTGCACCACGCCACCACTTGCCAAATTCAAAACAGCTCTGTCGCGCCTCTCCCAATCATCGGATCTCAGGGGTATCAACGAAACTTACAGGGGTATTTCCCCCATATATAATCAACGGTTATGAGAAGCGGCGGTTATCGGGACATTGGTTAACGGGGTTCACCTGTACCGTGAGTGGTATTATAGTACTGTACTGTATTATGTAAAATTAAAATTCTCCCTACCATTCACCAATCAACTGACCACAATGTTTCAGTTCAAAATACAAAAAATATTACCATAGTTTAAGATAAGTAATATCACAAACACTGTTCACCTTGCCCTTAAAATTAGCAAGTCTCTGGGTCTCAAAATGGTCGTCAATAGTCAAATCTGCCAAATATTTATTTTATTTTACCAGTAGTATTGTATATATGTGGTATGAGAAACTCGAGAGACAACTATTTTGTGATTTAGAATATTATTGAGGTGGATATGTATTTTTGTAAGCCCCGAGGAGGAAAACCTAAATATATTTTGTGGGTTTGAAATGGAATTTGGAGGGACGCTACGGCGTTGTTTACATAACAAAAACGCATCGGGCGGGCCCAGTACCAGGTGTGTCCCATGTATTTCTTGCTCTGTTAGGGTGTGTTTGATAGATTGAGCATAATAAATGTTATATGGAGAATGTGATGATCTCGTGGAGGTAGTCTGTAAGCCAGAATAAGGCTAATACTAGCTTTGCTCTACACACATTCACCCTGGAGCGAGTAGACACCAACAACCACCCCCCTGTGTTATGCTGGTGGGTTGGGTTTATTATTTATTGTTTAATTCCTACGACTGTGTGGTACCAATATGTTGTCATAACAGTTGATGCTTGTTTTGTAAGTATAATGTATAATAACTAGTTATGTCTGATCTAGGTCCCAGCCTTACAGGTAACTCAGAATCAGAGGATTTTCTCGAGACTATCCAGGACTGTTTTCTAAGTCAACATATAACTGAACCAACACGGGGTAATAATATACTCGATTTAGTTCTGTCAAACAGAGAAAACCTCATTAGCAGGGTCGAGGTAGGGAATGAATTTGCAAACAGCGATCACAAAGAAATTAGATTCCAGTTAGACTTTCAGGGCAGACGTAAGGAAAATTCCACTAAAGTACCAGATTTCAGAAGGGCGAACTTTGACAGTTTAAAGAGGCAGCTGAGAGAGGGGGTGTCGCGCTTGGCCGTGAACCTGTCAGATGACACCGACCTGATAACGAGATCTGAGATTGCCGAGTTCCACGACAATTTAAATAGTGAGTTACTTAATGCACAAAGGCAGAACATACCATACAAAACACTCAGATCAGACAACAATGACCCTAAATGGATTAATAATTATTTAAGGAACATCATTGGCCAAAGGAAGGCTATAGGTAGAAGGATAAATCGTGGCGAAATTCACCTCCGGGACTATTATAGGGTATTGGCGAGTAGGGTTAAAACCGAGATAAGGAAAGCAAAGAGGAATAATGAGGTAAGGATAGCAAGGGAGGCGAAGACAAACCCCAAAGGATTCTACCAAATGTATCAAACTAAAACACGAGAAAAGATTGGACCAATACGGTCAGACACCGGCGAGCTCACTGATAACGACAGAGAAATGAGCAATAATTTGAATAAATATTTTTCAACAGTTTTCACCACCGAAAATTTAAACATGATACCCGAGGCACCGACTCTATTCAGAGATAGTGAAGAAAATAAATTAAGTGAGATAGTAGTGACTAGTAACGATGTTAGTAAGCAAATAGACAAACTAAAGCCTAATAAGTCACCTGGTCCCGATGAGATATTTGCCAGAGTATTAAAGGAATGTAAGGAAGAGCTTAGTATGCCCTTACCAAAGTTGTTTAACATGTCCTTAAAAACAGGTGTAGTACCAGAATCCTGGAGGATAGCGAATGTAATACCGATTTTCAAGAAGGGGGATAGATCACTATCCTCTAACTACCGCCCAATCAGTCTAACATCAATAGTAGGCAAATTACTGGAAGCAATCATCTCAAACTCTATTCGAAATCACCTGGAGAAGCACAGATTGATCAATGATTCCCAGCATGGCTTCACAAGCGGACGCTCTTGCCTAACTAATCTATTAACATTCTTTTCATCAGTTTTCGAATCGGTGGACGAGGGGCACAATTATGATGTGGTATATCTCGACTTTAGCAAAGCCTTCGACAGAGTCCCCCACGAAAGACTAATTAGAAAGGTAGAAGCTCATGGCATCAAAGGTGACATCCTTAAATGGATTAGGGCGTGGTTACAGGACAGGAAACAGCGAGTGAGCATTAACGGCACTAAGTCCCATTGGAGCAACGTCACAAGTGGTGTTCCCCAAGGCTCAGTACTTGGACCATTATTATTTATTATATACATAAACGACATAGATATCGGCATAGACAGCAACATAAGTAAATTTGCTGATGACACTAAAATAGGACGTGTTATTAAATCTGACGAGGACTCGGCAAAACTACAGGAAGATCTAAACAAATTTTTCGAATGGTCTGAAAAATGGCAGATGAAATTCAACGTGGACAAATGTAAAGTACTCAGTATAGGAGATGTAAACAGGGAAACCAGATACCAGATGAACAACGATGCCATAGAGAAATCCGACTGCGAGAGAGATTTAGGAGTAATGATAAGTAGGAACCTTAAACCAAGTAAACAATGTGTTTTTGCTCGTAACAAGGCTAATAAAGTACTTGGGTTCATACAAAGGAGTGTTAGTTACAAGACTAGCGAGGTCATCCTAAAACTGTATCTTGCTCTTGTGAGACCACACCTGGACTATGCAGTTCAGTTCTGGTCACCGTATTACAGAATGGATATAGAATCCTTGGAAAGAATTCAGAGGAGAATGACAAGACTAATCCCGGGCATTAGGAACCTTGAATATAGAGACAGGCTAAAGCATCTTAATTTGCATTCCCTCGAGAGACGTAGAGCGAGGGGCGACCTGATAGAGGTGTATAAGTGGAAGGCAGGGCTAAACAAAGGGGACATTACAAAGGTACTCAAACTATCCAACCAGGAGCGAACTCGTAACAATGGTTTTAAATTAGATAAATTTAGATTTAGGCGTGAAATCGGTAAACACTGGTTTGGAAACAGAGTAGTGGATGAATGGAATAAGTTACCAAATATCATCATTAACTCGAATACGCTGAATAGCTTCAAACATAGGTTGGATGCTTATATGAGCAATAGGGGTTGGGTGTAAACGGGACTGCCCAGTATGGGCCAATAGGCCCGCTGCAGTTTCCTCCATTCTTATGTTCTTATGTAAATGAGAGACAACTACAAGTGTGTGTCCTATCCCTGAATTGGGAGTCCCCTGCTTTGTGCTTTGCTACATATATATGTGTGTGTGTGTGTGTAAACACACACACCACGTCAGGTCCCTCATAACACCATCTGAGGGAACTACTACATCATGTGAGGTCCCTCCTAACACCATCTGGGAGGGAGTTACTACACTACGTGTTTGCTGTTCAATACGTACAATCCTACATTAATCAGTATGTTCACTGTATGTTCCTTTACCTTTCTCTAATGAAGGCTTTTGTTAAACCACCATTGTATGTAATAAGTCATTTATGTCCAATGTATATTTTCAGCCTTCGGGCTGCAGAACTTTTTCAATAAACCGTTAATTATTATTATTATTATTATATTTACAATACAGGTAAAGGAAATTACTGTCTTTACAACAAATGGCTTCCTGTCCCAGACGCAAAAATGCCGGCAACTTTAAAACTACCTACAGACTTTCTTGGGTACATCCAGGGTGTTATCCGCGAATAACCGAGAACTGCAAAGTAAAAATCCGAGAAAATTGGGGGGCCCTCTATACTCATGAACAGACCTAGGTTGTAGTTGGCTGGTTCACCATAAAGTGTGATTGCCATCCTATGTACTTGACATCAATTTAATTATTGCATTGCAAGTTCAAACACTGATTAGATTATAAAAAATTATTCTTAGGAAATTAATATAAGCTCAGAGCCTAATTTTCACAGCCTGTGGTGTACTGTAACTGAGGACGTGTGTAAAAGTATTGAGGGTGGTAACATTCCATTATACATCATTATAACCAAAGATGACCATGGTTAAGTTTACCCTGAGGAGTGAACATCACCAGACAACAGTATAGAACTCACCACACTGATGAGAGCATTGAGGAGAGAGAGGGAGCCACTGAACACTAGGGAAGCAGCAGTTGTGAGGGCAGACATGGCTAGGCTCAGGTTGCCCAGCAGGATGGTCCACACTGACTCTAGCACACTCACCACAGTACCCAGGTTGTCCCGTACCACATCACTCACAAATGAGAAACTCACAATACCTGCGAACAACAAATTTACACTTATAGATAATTTACTTACAAATATTCTACATTTACAAATAAATTACACTTACACATAATTTACAATATAGTAATTTTCTTAAAAACAATTTACCTGAACATAATTTACACTTGCATTTACACTTGAGAAGTTTATAACACATAAAGTTAGTAAATAATGGTCATAACTTCACCACAATTTTAACTATCAAACCATAAATCTACACTTAATTAAAACTATTTATTATTTTAACAATAGATGGGATGGTGCTATGGTGTGTGTGTGACTTAAGACAGACACACAGATAGACAGAGAGACACGAGGCAGCTATAGTCATCACCTGAAGGCAGGGATGGACTGGGACAAAAAAGCAGCCCTGGGCTTTCACCCAGATCGGCTCCCACAGCCTGGGAGCAAAGTGAGCCTAATCTGCTGGGGGGTTTGAGTGAGGAGGGGGGGGGGAGGGTGCTGTAAGCCCCCTTTCAAATGAATTTTAGAATTTTGATCAATTTCAGAGACATTTTAAGGCCATAGAAGAGGGGTATTTGGACATATCCTAGGTCAGATAAGTGTAACCGCCCAATAAGCGACTGTGCGATACTGAGACCTTTGCACGTAGGACTCAATTGTTCTTTATTCGGTCAAAACCTGCAGAGTACAAATTACATATGAGATAATTAATTCAATCGTATGTTCCATCACTATTAACGACTACATATGATATATTTGAGTAGAGTAGGGTGTTAAACCATATAAAACTTACATGTTTCGGGTCTAATATAGGACTTATTAACTCCCTGACTTGATAGTTCACTGGACGGATAGAGACTGCCGAGCTAGTCAGCCCGAGCCGAGGGCCAGCTGTTTCACACCTCAGCAAAGCTAAATCTCTCTCTCTCTCTCTCTCTCTCTCTCTCTCTCTCTCTCTCTCTCTCTCTCTCTCTCTCTCTCTCTCTCTCTCTCTCTCTCTCTCTCTCTCTCTCTCTCTCTCTCTCTCTCTCTCTCTCTCTCTCTCTCTCTCTCTCTCTCTCTCTCTCTCTCTCTCTCTCTCTCTCTCTCTCTCTCTCTCTCTCTCTCTCTCTCTCTCTCTCTCTCTCTCTCTCTCTCTCTCTCTCTCTCTCTCTCTCTCTCTCTCTCTCTCTCTCTCTCTCTCTCTCTCTCTCTCTCTCTCTCTCTCTCTCTCTCTCTCTCTCTCTCTCTCTCTCTCTCTCTCTCCTCTCTCTCTCTCTCTCTCTCTCTCTCTCTCTCTCTCTCTCTCTCTCTCTCTCTCTCTCTCTCTCTCTCTCTCTCTCTCTCTCTCTCTCTCTCTCTCTCTCTCTCTCTCTCTCTCTCTCTCTCTCTCTCTCTCTCTCTCTCTCTCTCTCTCTCTCTCTCTCTCTCTCTCTCTCTCTCTCTCTCTCTCTCTCTCTCTCTCTCCTTTCTCTCTCTCTCTCTCTCTCTCTCTCTCTCTCTCTCTCTCTCTCTCTCTCTCTCTCTCTCTCTCTCTCTCTCTCTCTCTCTCTCTCTCTCTCTCTCTCTCTCTCTCTCTCTCTCTCTCTCTCTCTCTCTCTCTCTCTCTCTCTCTCTCTCTCTCTCTCTCTCTCTCTCTCTCTCTCTCTCTCTCTCTCTCTCTCTCTCTCTCTCTCTCTCTCTCTCTCTCTCTCTCTCTCTCTCTCTCTCTCTCTCTCTCTCTCTCTCTCTCTCTCTCTCTCTCTCTCTCTCTCTCTCTCTCTCTCTCTCTCTCTCTCTCTCTCTCTCTCTCTCTCTCTCTCTCTCTCTCTCTCTCTCCTAGATTATTCTACTGGCGGTAACACTCCCCCTGTTGAGCTTGCTCGAAACCCATTGTCTGCCGGGAGTCTCACTCTCCGACTCCCTCTAATAGGCAGAGCTTTGTCACTGGACGTATTAACACGGAGTCCTTCATCTTTACTTTGGCACGCCGCACCAGGCCGTCATCACCCGGTACCCTTCCCAGCATCCATTGGCTCCTTGGGAGAGGATGTACAGATATGACGACGATGTCCCCAGTGCGGAAGTTGCGGTGTGTGTTGGTCACACAATATATATTTATATACAGGTACTCCCCGACTTATGATGGGGTTAGGGACCCAAATCCAGGTCACAAGTCCGACTGGTCGTAAGTCCGACATAGATAAAAAAAAAAAAAAATAAATAAATAAATAAAAAAAATAAAAAAAATAAAAAAAAATAAAAATTTTCAAATTAAAAAAAAATAAAAAATCTACAATGAAATACAGTACAGTAAAAGTAATAAATAATGAGGGACGGATACAGTGTGACTGAGCACTTACCTTTAATGTAGTCAGCTGAATGCACATGGGGCCCCCATAATTTTCTATTTACAGGATACATGGAGACTACAGTATATTAATTGGAAGAAGCAGAGGAGGAGACAGGGCTGGGTGGGTCATCAATGTCGCTTCCTTCAGATAGGTTTATGAACTGTAGAAACTTGCTGGTTGAAGGTATTGGATCATCTTGAGGGCGTGAGGAGGCAGCACTGGTGGGGCGTGAGGAGCCAGTACTGGGGGACTTCTTGAAATAGATGTCCAATTTAGACTGCACAGTTTGTTTTTTCTTTTCATTATAAATTTCTCTGTAGCAAGCAAGTGCATCTTGGATCATTCTGTCAACTTTGGCATAACGCTCATAATTCTGATCCATGCCATCAAACATTTGCATTCCTTTATTAATTGTAGCAAATGCCTCTGCCATTTGTTTCACTGAAAACTTTTTGGGGGGTGCAGGTTCTTCTTCTACATTTTGTCTTTCTTCTTCCTCTGCAATTTTCAGTGCATCTAGTTCAATAAGATCCTCGTTACTGAGCTCTTCTGCTACACTTTCAACCAACTGTCCAACATCTTCATTATCAATTTCTAACTCCAGCTGTTTACCTAACTCCACTATCTTGTTACTAATATCCGAAATAACTTCATTTTCATTAAATACTTTGAAACTGTTCACATATCTTTTCGGGATTTTCTTCCATATTCCATTCATGCAATGTTTTGTAACCTGATCCCATGCTGCACTAATGTTCTTTATACATGACAAAACGTTGTACTCCTTCCAAAACTCTCTGAACGTTTTCTCACCTTCAGTAGCAGGAACAGCCTGAGCGAAGGTCGTGCGTAAATAATACGCTTTAAAGGCAGCAATAGCACCCTGATCCATGGGTTGGATGATAGAGGTAGTGTGAGGTGGAATGTAAACTACCTTAACATCAGGGTGCATGTCGTCCAGGTGTGGTGGGTGTCCCGGAGCATTATCCAAAATCAACAAAATCTTGAATGGAATCCGTTGTTGCAGACAATACTCCTTGGCTCGTGGAATGAAATAAGTCATGAACCAATCCTCAAACAGTGCTAAGGTCATCCAGGCTTTCTTATTACTGCGATAAAACACTGGCAGTGTGTGCTTGCTGACATGTTTAAAAACCCTGGGGTTCTCTGAATGATAGATCATGAAGGGATTTAGCTTGAAACCAGCAACATTCCCCCCAACAGAAGTGTAATTCTGTCCTTGAATGCCTTGAATCCTGGCATTGTTTTCGCCTCTTTGTGGATGCATGTCCGCTCAGGCATGCGCTTCCACAATAATCCAGTCTCATCCACATTGAATATTTGCTCAGGCAAATAATTCCCTTCCACAATCACATCATCTAACTCCTCCTGAAAAGCTTTGGCAGCACCAACATCAGCAGTAGCTGCCTCTCCACTCACCTTAACATTGTGTAGATTGTAGCGTTTTTAAATCTATCAAACCACCCATGACTTCCTGTAAAGGTTTGATCACATTCATCTCCTGCCTGCTCCTTCAGGCTTTGGAACAGGCTTCTTGCTTTAGCCTGTATGCTTAGAAGGCTTAAGGGTACACGCTTCTGTATCTGGTCTTCTATCCATATCACCAATAATTTTTCCATATCATGAATAGGACCTTGTCTTTTCTTTGAAATTTTAGTTCCCTTTATTGTATTGGTGTTGTTCCTTTCACTACATCACAAATACGTTCCTTGTCCTTCAGAATAGTGGATATAGTCGAGTGTGAGAAACCTAGGTCGCGTGAGATTGTTGCTACAGTTTTCCATTCTCATGCTGTGTTATTATCTTCATTTTCATCTCAAAAGTAATTGCCTGTCTCCTTTTCCTTGTAACACCACCAGCACTCTCACTTTTACGCTTTCCAGTCATTATAAAGTCAATTAAAAACGATAATAACGAAAGTTCACAGCGCGATCAGTATAGGATACGATAGCCAAACACCAACTAAACGCTCCACTGAGTGAATACACCCACGCGGCGACCGAAGCCCGCCCGCCACGCTCTCGCCCGGGACAGAAACGTTTCAGTATAGAAAATGCGAAGGTCATTTGAAAATATTTTTGGTCACGACTGCCGCGGTCGTATGTCCCAACGGTCGTAAGGTCAGAGCAGGTCGTAAGTACCGATGGACGTAAGTCCAAGCAGTCGTAAATAGGGAAGCACCTGTATATATTAGTTCTTGATTTGATAAGTGGCAGGGCTGAAGTAAACACTTTGTTGGTTTTCTTTTATTGTAGAAAAATATAGTTTCACAGGTACTGAGTTCAGTTGAGAGTATATTGTACCTTCTCTGCTAAGGGAAATGTCTTAGTACACTTTTATGGGAGAGCACTTAAGTGAGGTGTTCACTGGGTAACAGGTGATATGATAGTCTCTCTCTCTCTCTCTCTCTCTCACCAGGGAGAGGGAGTTGTCAGGCGTTCCTCACAGGATGTTGTTGTTGAAATGTGTTGACCCAGCTTGACCTCACCCACTCCCCAGACGAAATGTCAAACTCACCAATTGATTCATACTCATGGATGAATGACTTGGTGAATACATGGGTAATATACATTTGGGTAAGTATTTATATAATACAAATTGTGCTGTTACAGGTGCGCCCGGAAGTGCTTCTGTCGCTGCCGGAGTGTCGGGAGATATTCCTTAACCCACCTCTTCCCGAATTGGTCTGCAATGAA